AGACCAGAAAGCTCTGTGTTATTATTTTCAAATTTCTGCAGCAAAATTGTTCAATTTATTTAGCTCTTTGTATGACATAGCATTTCTGGAGTAAAAAGGTAGGCCAATATTTAAAACTCTGACCTGTGGCAAGCTATTAAATTATTAATGTAACCTACTGGAGAATGTGATTCCCCCCCCCCCCCATAAAATGATTTCTTCCTATCCCTCCTACTCCTGCAAAATTTTAAGAAAGCCACTGTATTTTCTGTTTTGACAGTAGGTGTTACATAGGTTTTGTTGTTGTTGTTGTTTAATTATAAGCCTGAAAGACAAACATATTTTAAAAACTTTTTCACATTTATTTTCAAATTACTCACATTATAATCTTGACTAATAGTATATTATGAGCCTTACTGATATGTCTTTTTTTTTCTAAATCAGTTTTTATCTTGATAAGTACAGTTGTTAAGTGTAGGTTTTTATCATTGCAGGCAATTATTTATTTGTAAATTTTAAATAGAGTTTGTAATGATCTTTTGCTACATTGACCAATCAAGGATGTTCTGTCTTTGGTGATTTCCAGAAGGCTATTTTGTTTCATCTCCAATGAGAGACTAGATAGAGAATAATCCCGACATCAATCCATGTGCTCATCAGTTCATCTTATTCATTATAAGTTACAATAGACAAAAGTAGTAAAATAGAAGAAAGTGTATAGGTCAATGACTTTTGGAAGTGCTGTGGAAACAGTCCTTTGTTTTATCACAGACTCCCAAGAATAAAGATATAGTTATAAAAATATGGAATGATTACATTAATTCATAAAATATTTATTGAGTGACAGGTGCCAGCACTAAGCCTGAGGCTGAGAATTTAAAGATGAATAAGGAAATATTTGCCTTTAGCTCACAGTTTAGTAGTGATCACAAGACTCAGATTGTAAGATCACAGGGGAACTAGGGGAAACCACAGATAAAAAAATCTCTCCCGATCCATCCATGTCCCTACAAACGACACAAACTCATCATTTCTGATTGCTGCATAATATTCCATGGAACAGCATCCTCAGCAAACTGGCACAAGAACAGAAAATGAAACACCGCATATTCTCACTCATAGGTGGGTGATGAAAAATGAGAACACATGGACACAGAAAGGGGAGTACTAAACACTGGGGTCTATTGGGGGGAAAAGGGGAGGGCCAGTGGGAGGGGGAGGTGGGGAGGGATAGCCTGTGGAGAAATGCCAAATATGGGTGAAGGGGAGAAGAAAAGCAAAGCACACTGCCATGTGTGTACCTACGCAACTGTCTTGCATGCTCTGCTCATGTACCCCAAAACCTAAAATCCAATAAAAATTAAAAAAAAAAAAATCTCTCCCTGTCTCTGAAATTGAATAGCATGTAGTGCAGCCTTATACATAAAGTTTCCTATTCCCTCATAAAATAGTTAAGCCCTCTGCCCTTTCTGAAAATATTGTTGAAAATACTTTAAATTCAAGGATCTAACTATGTTTTATTCTTTGCTGAAATTGTTTGAAGGGGGACATCTCTTCTAATCTGACTTTTATTCCCAAGAAAGGCTGAAAAGCCATGTCAATGGTGGGTAGCCAGGAATTCAAGGGGAAAGTAACATCAGATTTGCATTACTAAGCATGGAATCTGATAGACCAAAGCTGTTTGTAGACTTGCACGTACCTCACAGCATGGGTCGGCAGGTCAAGTTCAGCAAGGGCCTGAGCTGGCACAGACTGTACTTTCTCTCTGCAGGTGCCCTGCAGAGTGACTGTGCCAGGACTAGGACAAATGCACAGGATTGTTTTGGTGTTTAAAAGAAATTATGTGTCTACCAAAGTTATGAGAAAGTTCAAACAGATGTACCAAAGACTCTAAATAGACCTGTATGCAATTCTTAGAAAAATTTCTTCTACCAATGTATATTTGCTCTTTCAGTAATTAGCTTCAAACTACCTACATGTGCCAAAAGACAGGATAAAATATAGTAATTACTTCTACCACCGCTAAAATCAAACCTTGAAATAACAAATAATTTAAGAATTGTCCTAGATTACTGAATCCTTCATTATTTCAATTCATAAACTATACCAAGGGGACAACAGGCTTTCTAACATAGCCCCTACTCGTGCCTCAGGCATCACATTTTCCTGTGCACACAGAGACATTTCAAAAAAATGAATGAAAAAGCGGTTCCAATTTAGCTGAAAAACTGAATGTGTAATGTTGAGTTTTAGAAATATTAAATGTAAATGACCTTTAAACAGCAGTATAATATTTACCATTATACATATGTTATTTATAATGAAGTACTAACTTCAGAATGGCCAGGAGGATCTTGCAGATGAAATGAGCACTGGAATGCGCTTTGACAAAGACTTTTACATACACTGAGGTGTGTAAATGAACTTAACTCCTGTTTTCAATATGACATTCCTAGAAGACTTAGAAAAATAAATCATCAACATGAAAATTTAAAAGATTAATCACTTGTGTCTGGGCATGGTGGCTCATGCCTGTAATCCCAGCACTTTGGGAGGCTAAGGCAAGGGGATTACCTGAGGTCAGGAGTTCAACACTAGCCTGGCCAACATGGTGAAGCCACGTTTCTATTAAAATACAAAAATTAGCCAGGTGTGTTGGCACATGCCTGTAATCCCAGTTACTTGGGAGACTGAGGCAGAAAAATTGATTAAACCTGGGAGGTGGAGGTTGCAGTGAGCTGAGATTTCGCTGTTGCACTCCAGCCTGGGTGATAAGGGCAAAACTTCATCTAAATAATAATAATCAGTTGTGATAGTTGCCTTTAAAAGACAGCAGCAAAAATGTCACACAAATAAAATATTTTACATATTATTTAATTGACTGTTTTCATTTTCAGATTATTTCAAAAAATTATGTTTAAGAACATCAAGAAAAACATGAGCTGCTGAAAGTATCAAACACTGCCTCTCCATTTGAAGAACTGTTATTCATATTTTAACTACCACCTGGCAGCACAATTAAATTATTTCTCTGACTAATTGAGTGTCAGTTTCTTCTATTTTAAATGGAAACAATGATGAGTTAAAGTATGCAAATACCTTAGAGTTCTCAGAGGAAAATGCAGTGTACATATAATCATAATTTAAAAATCATTAACATTTTAATATAATAAAGTGTCTTGCTTTAAGCTAATCCTTAGAAAGTTATCGATTTGACAAATGATACTCTCAGATGTTTTTTTTTTAATCAAACATTTCAGATGTGGTGGTGATTATTTGTAGTTTTAATTAGAATTGAAACCGGGTCCTAAAATTTAGCTCACACTGTACTCAAATGTATAAAGAGAAATGTAATATATTTATTTTGTGTTTAAGCTAATTTGGATTTTCTGATGGGAGGAAATGTAACCAAATACCCAACCTCTTTTAATTTTTAAATCCAATATTAGAGTCAGGCCCTTCATGTAGTGGTCTAGGCTTCTGCTTGCCTCCCCCTCCCCTTTTAAGATCACCTGCAGATACACCAGTAGATGGAAGCGGCTTACATGGCTTTTAACATCAGAGGGAACTATCAATCCTGGTACTCCTATTGTGTCCTTGTGGTGTCCTATGATAGGTGATCATCTCCTTTGTCTGTCAGGTTGCTAGGGATGTCCTAAGGGCAAAGCGTGGAGAGGGAAAATTAGGGACATACATAACATTCTCTTACTTTCTTTTCCTGCCAATGCTTAGGCTACAGAATAGATCACCTTTTTCTTTAATTTCTTTATGGTATTTTCCTTTCACTATGCAGCAAGTCCTATGCATTCAGGTTCTAGGCAGAAGAGGTAGCAACCCTTTTAAAGGAGAACACTAAGAACTGGAAACTCCAGCCTTGGACTTTCATATGTTACAAAAGGCAAGGTGGCCACAAGGATACGTGGTGAAAAACTTTTTAACACAATAGACTGATCTGCAGGACTATCATAATCTTGCTAAATAATTCTACCTCACAGAAATGGAATGCTAATATACTCTTTCTCTTTTCATTTCTTCTGTAAGAAATCCTGTTTTCCCTGTAGATAAAGGATGCCTCAGGCCAACAAAGTGAAAGTAAAGTACACAGAAAAGCAAAAGAGAAAGCATACTAGTATTTTTGATACTTAAAATTTTTTTCTAACCAGTTCTTCGTGTGACACAACTCTTTGTTGTTGTTTTTAATACTTGGTTTAGTGGTGAGGTATACTATATTTAAAATGTTATGACATAGACATTTAACTGAGGCTGCAACAGTAAACCTGTATGCACTCATTTCTCTCTACAACCCATGTCTCTGAAAACCATATTCTTCATTATGTAAGTCAAATTAGTATTTATATTTTCTTTTTGGACACATTCTTCTTCCTCTCCTACTTTTCTTCTTATGGGTCTACCCTTTTGCTTGAAGGTCTAAAGTCTGCATTTTCTCTCTGCTTTTCATACCATCCATCACTTAGGGTAGCATTAAAGAACCCAATGACATATTTTCCTCCTCTATGTATACTCCTTTTTAGCAATTCCTTTATAATTTAGTCTGGTGAATATATTGAAATTTATTATTTACAGTGTCCTTTTCTGTAAACAGTGTTGTAGTTGGGGATTATATTTTTTATTTTCTTTCATTCTCCCTACCTCTATTCATCAACCTATGATACATAACTATGTCAAATTTATTTCTCATCTCAGTTTCTCCATGAGGAGTTCATCAATTAACACTAGTCCATTATGACCTTACTTTTATTCTATTTGTCTATATTAGCTATCTGATTCATTATTTGTTACAGAAGATAAGATTCAATTTTAGTAATTTCGATGAAAGTATTTTTAATTAGTCAAATTAAGATCTATTTCCATAATTTACAGAAAGACATACTATTTGTATATTGGGTGTATTTCTATTAAATACATTCCTATTTTAAAAAATCTCCTTGCAACTTGCTCTGGTTTCATCTTTGTATATTTCAATTTATTTCACTCTTTTTTTATTTTTTTACTTTTTTGAGGTGGAGTCTTGCTCTGTCTCCAGGCTGGAGTGCAGTGGCACAGTCTCCGCTCACTGCAACCTCTGTCTCCCTTTCAAGTCATTCTCCTGCCTCAGCCTCCCGAGTAGCTGGAACTACAGGTGAGTGCCACGATGCCCAGCTAATTTTTATATTTTTAGTAGAGATGGGCTTTCTCCATGTTGTCCAGGATAGTATTGATCTCTTGACCTCATGATCTGCCCACCTCAGCCTCATAAAGTGCTGAGATTACAGGTGTGAACCACCAGACCCACCCATTTACTTCATTGCTCAGCACCCCTCATTTCATCTCATTGGTTCTCAACAATTCTAATCACTTGTTGTGAGAGCAAAATTTCTTTTAGATAAAACAAATAAATGTGTTTTTAATTTGAGCCTCTCTTTTGTGATTCTGCCCTGCAATGCTTATGTTGTTTTCTCTGTCATCTCAACTCCCATTATTCAACTTCTTTCATTGTTTTCATTTTTCATTCTATCTGTGTTGTTTGGTTTCTTATCTCTTGTTCATAAATCTTCATAAGGTTTTTATACTTTATCAGATAATTGGTTTATTATTTCACCCAGATTTATTTTTACTATTCCTATACTTATTATAGGATTCCATTTGACATTAAAAATGTTGATATATAATAGGTATGTCTTCATAGTTGAGATTATGTTATTTCTGATTTGAATAGAAACCTTATTAAGGCACAAATATCATCTATTTATTTTACACATTCATAAACATTCATGGAGATCTCAGAATGCTTTTCAGTATCCCTGGAAATATTTGCTATTGTTAACAAGGCAGGCACTCTGGGGAGTTAAAAATTCATCATCATTTTCAAGAGCAAAATACAAAGATCATTCTAGATTCACAGTTCCTAGTTTCAGAGAGCTCTTCATATGCTGTTGCTTCTATCTGAAATGTCTTTCCAGCCATGCAAATACAGTTATCCTTGAAGACTCAGGGCAGTGACATTTCCTTCGCAAAACCTTCTTTTGTTCACCTCTCTCCTGTCAACCAACCCATGTTTTGTATCCTACCTCTGATTAATGTCCCCTGCTTGTCAAGATTTATCCACAAATATTGTATATTCAGTAATGAAATGCATTTTTCTGTCTGTGGATCTTCTCTTCCTCTGAGACTAGAAACATTAAAAAGCCAGGCACTGTAGTGTTATTCATCTTTATATTGTTAGTAACCAGAGAACTGTAGTTATGCAATAAATACTAATAAATAATTGTAACCCACATAAAATGAGTTTTACAGGCAGGATTTGGTTATAGTAAGTGGTCAAAGGCACTCTCCAAAATGAAATCTACTGGGGATTTTGTCTCTTCATGTGTACAGCTGGTCTTCTTCAATGAATTACATTTATACACACTCATCATACTATTTAATACATCGTTTGCCCTTGGCTGTATAAATCTGTTTGGAAGCACAAAGCAGTACCCTGATGGTAGGTAAAATAGTACTCGTCACTTGACTCCATTTTATGATTGACATATTTTTGGTGATATAGTAATATGAGCTATGCAATTCTCTATGGATTTTAAAATGTGCTATTTCCAAATATGGGTGAAGGGGAGAAGAAAAGCAAAGCACACTGCCATGTGTGTACCTACGCAACTGTCTTGCATGCTCTGCTCATGTACCCCAAAACCTATAATCCAATAAAAAATAAAAAATAAATAAAAAATAAAAAAATAAAATGTGCTATTTGGTCACTTTGGAATACCTGGAAATATAGAGATAGAGTTTTCTGGCCTTTATAAATTCAAGGAGGAAGATTACGTATAAAAATCAGGCTCAACACTTTTTCTGAACTTTATCATAAGACTTACATCTTAACACTTAGAAGAATTAAGCTATAAATGTTAGCTATACAATATCCTGTTTTTTAAATGAAATTTTTTTTTGTAAGAAGAAAACATACAGTAATATAAATAACATGTAAAATTTGAATGTAGAAAAGATATCTATTTTAGCAATATTGCAAACTAGGTTGCCTAAAGGTTTTTTTTTTCAAGGTCTTACTTTGTTGTGCAGCCTGGAGTGCAGAGACACAGTCTCAGCTCACTGCAGCCTTTACCTCCTGGGTTCAAGTGATCCTCCTGCCTCAGCCTCTCAAGTAGCCAAGATAATAGGCATGTGCCATCACGGCCGACTAATTTTTGTATTTTTTGTAGAGACTGGGTCTCCCTATATTACTCAGGCTGGTCTTGAACTCCTGAGCTCAAGTGATTTGCCCACCTCGGCCTCCCAAAGTGCTGAGATTACATGAATGAGCCACCACTCCCAGCCTGAAGATCTAACCAGGAAAACAGAATGATAGACAAAATATAATGTGTAATACATATGAAATGAAGTGCCCAAACATTTAAGTAAAACTATGACTGAATTTACTAGGACAGAAGGAATAGCCCTAAGTACCGAAAAGAAAAAAAAAAAAGAATAATAACTTGAGAAGAGAATATGTAAGTTGATGCTGAGGCTGGTCTGTGCTAGGCAGTCTAGGTAACTAGGAGGTTGGGTCCAAGGCCCATAAAAAAACAGAAAAGTGAAATATAACTGAGACCTAGTTTAGTTTTTTTAAGAAAGCCAGAACTCTTACCTAGCTACCTGTCAGTGAAGTGGTGTACTATAAAAAGCCCAACCTCTGTAGAGAGAGATGACTTAAAAGATTGACTTTTGGGCTAGTTCTATAAATAGATTTGTTTACTGTGATAATTCATAAATATAAGTGTGAAATTTGAATTTAATCTCCTTATTTGCTCTAGCAACATCCAGATAAGGAATTCACATAAAAATGTTCACATTTATTTCATAATACCCATAGGGAGACTTTCAAAGCAAGCAAAAAACCTTACCTAAGATTTGTTTTCAATCCATGGTATTGAAAAGTACAAAAGATAAAGCCCCACTCAAGACTGATTCAATCCAAAATACAAGAGGCAACACAAAGAAACAATCCCATATAAGCAAGAGTCAGTAGATACAAAGTAGCACAAGTCTCCTGATCATGTTACATAATAGAAATATTGGAGAAAGGGGACTAAATAAACATTTTTAAAATAAAAATTATAAGGAAATAATTCATAAAAATGAGAAGTAAGCATGATACTATGACTAAAAGTCAGATAGTTGGAAAAAATAAAATGGATCTGAAATTTAAAACAATGTTTTTCTTAATATTATACACTGATAAGATGATTAGCTAATTAGAACAGTATGTTTGAAGCTTTACTCAGAAAGAGAAATATTGAGGTAAACACACTGAAAACCTAAGGCATATTTAAGATAGACTAAGAAATCCAACATTCAGTTCACAGAAAGTTTATGAAGACAGAAAGTAAAAGTGGCTATTCAAGATAATATCTGAGAAAGTTGATGACCCATCATTTGATTCTTCTGATTTAGGAAACAAATCAGAAGCAGGATAAGTGATATAGTTTGGCTTTGTGTCCCCACCTAAATCTCATCTCAAATTGTAATACCTAGCTGTTGAGGGAGGTGGTTGGATCATGGGAGCAGTTTCCCTCATGCTGTTCTCGTGACTGTGAGTGAGTTCTCACAAGATCTGTTGGTTTTGTGTGTTGGACAGCTTCTCCTTTGTCTATGTGTTGGACAGTTCCTCTTTCTTCTTTATGTGTTGGACAGTTTCTCAGCCTTGTGACAGCATAAAAGAGAGAGTCTTGCTTCTTTTTCACCTTCTGCCTTGATTGTAAGCTTCATGAGGCATACCCAGCCATATGGAACTATGGGTCAATTAAACCTCTTTCCTTCCTAAATTACTCAGTCTCAGGTATGTCTTTATAGCAGTGTGAAAATGGACTAACACTTTAAATAAAATTAAAATTCACATCTAGAAATTAAAGTTGAAGTAAAACAGAAGGTAAGAGAAAGAGAAAGTCAGAAAGCTTGCTAGAAGAAAAACACATTGTTTACAGAAAAACAGCAATTAAACTGGTAGCATTAAAAGAAGTCAGAATATGATAGGATATTCAAAGTAACTGTACTATCACTATAACTAAACAAAAACTAAAACTGCAAATTTAGGCACCTAAGCTATCTTTTAGAATGAAGACAAAATTAACATTTTCAGATGAGAAAAAAAGTTTTATATGATCAAACCCTTGCTGAAATACCTTTTTAAAAACAATATACTTCAGAAAGCAGTGAAGATGACCCAGAAATATGGTATGAGATGCAAGATTAAATGATGGTGTTGGCATAATGTTTGAAAAATAGAACAATAAAACCAATAGAATAGAGAATTAAAAGAAAAACAGATTGCAGGGATATACTAACCTGATTTATGATTAAGGTGACATTGCAGAACAATAGAAAGAGTGCTGAATCAATATCCATATAAAAAATTATACTTGATACCTACTGAACACCATACACAAAATTGAATTCCAGATTAATTGCTCATATAAAAGGTATAATAATATTGTTATTGGAAATACATAGGAGAACATCTTCATGACCTTGGAGTTGGCAGATTTATTAAACAGAACATAAACTGAAAAAGGATAAATTATACTTCCTTAAAATTAAACATTTCTATTGAACAGAATTTTATTTTCTTAACATTAAGAGAGTAAAAAGACCAGCTACATAGTAGAGGAAGTAATTAGCAATACATATATCTGGAAAAAATTCATATTCAGAATCTATAAAGTAACTTTATAAATCAATCACAAAAGACAGAAAACCTAATGGAAAAAAATGGCAAAATAGCACGTACATGGAGGACCTCCAAATGATCAAAAAAGCATATTAAATGTGCTCATCTTCAGTAACCGTAAGTTCATTCAAAATTAAAACTATGGTGAGATACCATTATATAAATCCCCAGAATAAAATGAATAAGACAGATATACCAAGTATTGGAAATAATGTGAAGAAACTAGTACTCTTACATTTTGCTGGTGGCAAAATAAATTAGTATAACCACTTTGGAAAATTGGTTGGTGTTAGCTATAAAAGCATAAATATAAACAAGCTGAAAATATGTATAACTTAGGCAGCAGTAATTACACTCTCCAATATATACCTAATAGAAATAATTACATATAATCCCTAAAATAAATGCACAAAATTATTTCCAGTGACCCTGTTGCTAACAGCAAAATAACAGTGAAAATCAGGATCAACCTAAGTTTTCATTTACAAGAGAATAGATAAGTTGTGGAACACTTATAAAATACCAAACAGCGAGGTCCAGGAAGATGGCGCTGTGAGAACAACCCAGGATTGGAGCTCTCGTTGTGTCCGCGGAGAGGTGAGTCTGAGCTGCATTCCCAGACTGATCTTTGTTGCCCATGGAACGGGGAAATTCCCAAGTGAAGAGGAGACGCGGGACACCAGGCAGAACCTCCGCCGGGTGAAGCCG